GGTGCCTGTTCGCGGGGAGGGACAGTTAGCCAGAAGGTACGCGGTGTCCTAGCCTCCCTGCCCTCCCCTTCCCAATTTTCCCAAGGACAGCCGCCGCTGGTGTCCCCAGGTGTTCCGGGAACCCGTGTCCTCGCCGTCTTCCCCAGTCTCCGCCCGCCCCCGCCCGCCCCCACCCCCCACCGCACCTCTGTCCTCAGTGTCGCCCTTTCTAGGAGCTCGTGTGCAACCTCAACACTTGCTCACTTTCCAGGCATGGCTGGAGCCTGAGTTGTATGCAGAGATCTGTGATGGATGCAACCTTCACCACCAGTCTCCCGCCCCGAACCTGCCCCCAAGATTGCCTGCCGTGGCCCCTACGATGGTTTTTAGTCACCGTTTCTCCGAAGTTTCTCGCTTAACAGCAACGCAGCGAACACGGGCTTCTGTCACCCTTCCTTCCTTACATTCTTCATGGCTGAACGGATGGTTGGGCACATTTATCTGGGTGCTCTTTTGCCTAAACTTTCAAGGGCGTTTCCTCAACCTCCCAGATCCACCACTCCAGGATGGAGTCCCCAAAGCATGGGATGCCCCCCCCCCAGGAGAGGGATCATTGTAGGTGATAGGCAGATCAGATATTAAATAACAAAACAAGTGGTTGTTTCCCCTTATTCAGCAGTGGGAAGAGCAGAGTTGGCAGTCAGATCCCTCTGCATGGCTCTGTGGCCTCTCTGGGCTTCAGACTCCCATCTCTCCAGTCGGGAGCACAACTGGACTATCTCAACCCTTCCAACTCTGAATAAGGAGAAGCAGGACTTAGCATCCAGTTAGATCATAATCAGCCATCTTTGGCGAGGAGGTAAGACAACTGAAGTATAGGTTCAGACCTCTGCATGTGATCTCCGTACTCTTGGCCAGGTCGCTTTAACTTTGTGTAATTGGCACAGTAACTCCAGCCCCTGCAAGTTCTTTGTCACTCATTCAATGTAGATCAAGTGACGTGAAGGGTGGGCAAGTCTTTAGTGTTTGCCCAAGTGCTGTCACAGCATCTTATCCTAGGTAAGCTATTGCAAGTCATCCACATTCCTTCCAGCACACATTCAGTAAATTTCCAGTCAAACTTTAACCTCCAACTCAGAGTAGTGCTTGTAAATCAACTAGCCTTTTCCAAGAGCTTGTTGGGCTTCAACAAGATTCTGTCCCAGAAAAGTCACTGAACAGAAGGATGAGAATAGACACTGTTTATTGAGTCCTAGTGAGAAACCAGGCCACTCTCACTTAATACCACATAGAGATATAATCTTTTTATAGAAAATGGAGACTTAGAGTGGTTGAGCAACTTATTCAGGATACACAGCAGGTAAGTGCCTTATTGGTCTGTGACCCAGGACTGCCTGACACCAACGCCCATGCACCCAACACAGGCTGGCTTCTGAAAGCCTCTCTTCACACAGGACACCTGTAGGTAAGCGTCCTGAGTTTGGGCTACGTAACTCATCTTTCTCTTTGACTTTACATCAAATGGCAAATCCCTCCAAAACTTGTCAGGGGGACCTAGCCATTACCATTATTTATAAGTCACTCAATGCCTCACTCCTTCCTGATAAACACCACCACAACTTCATAACTACAGAATCTGCCTTCACCCTGCTCAGGCAGACATGAAATCTTTCATCTGGAATCGGTTCCCAGGTACTTTCCCTCTTGTTGGGAAATGTCTGGGCATTACCTCTAAATTTCTAGTCATTTTGCTGATTTCAAGTAGTCATGGGCTGGATTTTGAAGAAAAGGCAGATCTTAGCCTGAGTAATGTGAGAACCTCCAAAAATTCAGAGCCAAGTCAGCACAGGGAACTCTCAGGGGTGGCAGCTGTCCTGTCAGTGGTGATGGGCAAGCCAAGATTGATGTCCCCTGTAGGGCTGTGGGGGCAGTGCTTCTCCAGGTGTGTGTGGTCCACACCTTGGGGCATTTGTAAAGTGTTTTCAGTATTCAGTGCACACCTTCAATGAATAAATGTGTAGTTTTAAATTTAAAAAAGTTTTCCTGTCTTACTCTGTTCCTTATATATTTATTCAAACATGTCTGTTAAACAAAATCTGGGTTTTGTATATTGTGTCCTTTTACATTTTTCTTAGTAATTCACTTTATTTTATATTACCAGAGTTTAGGTTTGTGAAGATAGAAAATAAAAACCATGGCTAGAGAGTTCACATCAATCTTTTGGCGCAGGAATTTTGAGTCTCCTAGGTAGGGATTTAGGTAAGTAGGGGTTTGATTCCAAATTCTTTACAGTCTATCAAGCCTGAAATCTATGAGGAACTGAAGTTGTCCAGGGAAATCAAAGGATGGAAAATGAAGAATTGAGAAGTCACCAGCCCTTGCCATCCACCAACCCTTGACATGAGAACAGAGGGGACCCTGTGTCTGCTCCAAATCATTATAGCATCTGGCGTAACGCTCTTCCATCTCACAGAAGATGAACTTAGTGAAGAAGTGTGTCTTACTTTAGGTACTCAGTTTATTATGCATTAGCATTCTGTTCCATTACCCAAGTCTCTGCACTTCTCATCCAGTCTCCTATACCAGCCCTACCTAGATGGCACACAAGCCATTATTCCCATGCACAGGAAAGAAAGCAGAGTCAGAATAGTGTCAACAATTTTTTTTTTATTACCATTCACATATTGGAAAAGGAATTGTAACACTCAGGTCGGGTTTGGATAAAAATGCAGGTTTGCCCACGTCCCTGGGCATTTACATCTGGATTAGGCTCTCCCTTACATCAGGCACAGCAGCTGCACTTTTCTGATGCCCCTTTACAGACACAGCCCTTGGCACACTTGGCGCAGCCCACAGGGCAGCAGGAGCAGCAGCCTGAGGAGAGATGGGGAAAGTAGATGCCAGAGATGACTTTCCCAGGCACCTCCCTGCCCAACACCAGGCTGCCCAACAGCCCAGGCACAAGCCCTGAGACCCAGAGGACCCTTAGTGCAGAAAAACATGCTCTGTTCCAAGACAACTGGGAGGACCTTTGGGATTTGGGTTCCACTAGGAAATGACTGCCCTGCCCCATCTAAGCCCAGGACAAGGCAGAAAGTCAGAAGCAGCAGTGACAGGTTCCAGGGGACAAAGGGAGACCAGCTCCCCAGAACCATACACTCAGAACCAGCTCTTGGTTCCCTCCCTCATCCTAGCTGCACACCCCAGTTTCCACAAGAAGGCCCCACACTCACTCTTCTTGCAGGAGGTCCATCTGCAGTCTTTGCATGTGCAGGAGCCGGCACAGGTGCAGGAGCCGCCTGCCAGGAAGGGAACGACCAGCAGTGAGCAGGATGTGGGAGGCAGGAGCTACAGCAGATGGACAACAGTCCCTCCCTAAATCCTCCTCCTCTGCCAGGACAGTTAACAGTCCCTCCCCACATCCTCTTCGTGGGTGTAGGGCCCTGCGCTAGGAACTTCTGTCCAGCATAGACAGAGTCTCACCCCACCTCCTCTGCCCTTTAGCTACAAAAGGCTGTGTACTGCCTTATATTTACCCCACAGGAATGGCTCCAGAGCCCATCCAGGAAGCCTGGGTCTGGTGGCCGGGTACTTATGTCTGAGCCCAGAAGAGACAAAAATCCCCTTACTCCCATTCAGCAAAAGCAAATCTGAGGCCTGGACAGCGGCTGACCCAGCAGCCCCCAACCACCTGGATGATGTGGGAGAGGACAGCCTTAAGCCTCAGGCTTTTTGCCTCTTAAATGGAAGCCGCTGGGAGGATGGAAAAGCTCTAATGGGGGCGCTTGATCAGGGAGAAAGTCCATGCTGGGGTTAACTACGGAAGTCCGCTTCAGCTCAAGCTCAGCGTACTCCCTTCTCCAAACCTAGGGACTCTTCTTGATTTGGGGGAAGTGGCATCCAAAGTCCCCGAGCCGAGGGTCCCTTACCAGTGGAGCAGGAGCAGTTGGGGTCCATTTGGAAGCGAGGTGAGGCCGGAGGTCTAAAGCAAGCGGAGAAGAAGCTTCACTTGCTGGTGGGAGGCGTGTTGGAGACCAGGAGCCCACGTACTATGTTTATACCCCAAGGAGGCAGCCCCGGGCGCAGCGGCCCCGTCCCCACCTTGCACCCGCCCAGCCAGGTTGTGCGCACCTGGCTGGGCAGAGCGCAGGGTTCCGTGAGCAAGGCTGGGTCTGTGCGCAGTGCCCGGGACGTCCCTTTGGCCCTAGAACTCACGGAAGGACTGCGTGCCGGGCGGTATTCCGTGTCCCAGCCTCCCTGCCCGCCCCTTCCAAATTTTCCCAAAGTAGGCAGTCACCTTTGTTCTGGGATCTTCCTGGAACTCTGTCCTCGCTCTGTTTGCTACCCCAGGTCCCCGTGCCTTTGTCCTCAGCTATGTCCTTTCCTAGTGCCCGTGTGCAGCCCTAGCCTGTGCTCACATCCCCGGCTTACGGGGGGTGGTGGAAAGTCCCAAGGGTGTTGTGTGCAGAGGCCCAATGTTGGATGTGACCTTTACCTCACAGTGCATTTCCTCTCCCTGAGCCCACAGGGACTTTTGGCACTATTTTTCTGTTCTTGATTTCCAGGCAGACACTGTTTTCTGCTTCCGTCCTTCTTCCACTGTAAATCTGAAGGGATTTATGAGCACATTTGTCTGAATCTTTTGCATAAAACTCTCCAGGGACTCCACAGCCTAGCCAGCCCACCTCACTCCAGGAAAGCTGTTCAGAAAATGGGATGCCCCCAGGGGAGTGGCCATTTTAGGTGATAGGCAGATCTAGCCTTACTTAACATATCAAGAAAAGTAATTTTTTCCTTTTCAGTATTACTGAGCATTACACAGCATTTTGTATGTCACACCTGGCTGATAATTTTTTTGATCTTTCAAACCTCACAAGGACTCTGAAAGAGGAATATTATTATTTATGAGCCCATTTGGCTGATGGGAAAGGTAAGTCACAAGTATGTTAATCTTCCCAGGGTCTAAGCCCAGAGCTAAGACATAGTGCCACTAGATCTGAATCCAGTCAGCTTCCCAAGGGAAGGAGAAGGCCAAGGATAAAGTTTTCCTTTGGCCCAAAGTTTTCCTTTGCTGTATCTTCAACATCAGTGTACTGCTTGAAATCTTTTAAACGGAGATAATCCTCAAGCTTATCAAGTCTCCAGTCCTATGTCATGATTTAGTTCTCATAGACCTAGACCAACTTTTGCTTCTACAAGACACCACACAGGTCCAGTACATTGATGATATTATGCTGACTGGAGCTAGTTGCAAGAAGCAGCCACTACTGTTGGCTTACTGGTTAGACTCTACAATGGCGGTCCGGAAGGCTGTGGAATAGAGGGGTCCCTTAGGGCATCTCTTAGTACTACCCTGCCCTGTGATTAAAGTCATGGAAAATTACTCTAACAACCCAATACAGGAAGGACTGCCAAAGGCCCAGACCCTTAAAGACTTAGGTCACCCCACCAGGTAAAGAACCATGAATGACTGAGTAGCATGCAGGCAGCAAAAGGAATATGGAATAGGTAGTCGAAGGTGTTTATAAATGTCAGCTATGACCACGTGACCAGGTCCAGAAACAGAAATGACAACTATAACTCTTATGAGTACTTCTTCATTATTTTGTTTTATATATATATGGCAATATTTGTGTTTTCCTCCCTCTTTTATCCCCTTATCATTTGACATAGAATGTATTGACTTTACATCATAGTATTTATTTAGTTATGTATTTAAGTTACAGAATATCAAGTACCAAAGTGACCATCACCCAAGGACTTTGCATCCTCCTTTGGGGAAAGGGTCAGTACTTTTCAGTTGTAGGTAGGATAGTTGTATCGTGTTAGGTAGAAATATGACCTTGTTATTGTCTTTTATGGTTTAAGAAGTTGTATGGGTGCCAAGTTGACAAATGGTGGTCTATAATGGTCTAACACTAACCTGATGTTGCTGTGAAGGTATTTTTTAGATGTGGTTAACATTTAAATCAGTAGATTTTGAGAAAAGCAAATTAACGCTTCATAATGTGAAAGACACTCATCCAGTCAGTGAAGACCTTAGAGAAATACTTGAAGGTCCCTTGAAGAAGGGGGAATTGTGCCACCAGATTGGCTTTATTTTTATTTATTTTTTTATGGGTTATTTTTTATTTTTTAGTTGAAGAATAGGCAATATACTACACACAGCAGACTGCCTTTAGACTCCAGATTGCAACATCACCTCTGACCAGAATTTCCAGGCCACTGGCTAGCCTTACAAATTTGTCATGCCAGCTTCCACAATTGCATAAGCTAATTTCTTAAAATAGATCACTATCTATCTGTATACCACCTACTGGTTCTGTTTCTCTAGAGAACGCTAATACAAATATATTTTAAAACATATAAATCATCTAAAGGAAAGGTGTTAAGTAAAATACTGGTGCCAGTGGTAGCAGACAGGGCAGGCATCCTGTGTATGAACCATAAAGGCGTAGACTGCTGGGCTCAGGGGTATAAATCCCCCCAGTGCTGATCGCAATTTTGTGAGAAGTGTGATTGATTGACTCTTTGGACTACAGGTCATGTGCTCAAATGGTGGATGAGGACAGACAGCAGGGCTTTTAGCACCGCTTCTTTGTCTAGAGGTAAATAAATACTCCCTATTGTCGGAGCCAGCCGACAACGAGCAGGTCCAGAAACCTGTGCTGCAGGACTGAGAAAAGAAAGACGACACTAAAAGGTGGGGTTGAGAGGGTCGCACTCTAAGTCTGCAAGACGCAAGACCAAGAATGGACGACGAGTTTATTTTCAGCAGTTAATTTATACAATTTCAACCAGCTAGAGTGTGCATTCCTTCACGTAGGCAAGTAGGCAAAGGCATTGTCTTCTAAACTTAAGACCACCTGATAGCGTGTAGTAAAATCATTAACTTGTGTATTGTTCCCATAAACCGCCATAGGCTTAGATCAGTAACTTGTATGCTGATTGTATCTTCTTGCCCAAAGGCCATTAGTGTCTCATTAGCATAGGACGTTCCTGAGGTTTTAAGATTCCTTGGCGCAAACATCTCAAAGGGGTGGCGGGACAGAGATTGTCTTTGATAGATCAACCTCAAAGCCTGACGCTAGCACTCAAGATTTATTATCCTGTTTTGTGCCGGCTGTCCTCAGGTCATGAGTGGCTCCCCACGCCCTATGTTATATATAACAACAACAACAATAATAATACACTAACAACAATAATAAAGTAATAGCTAACATTATAGACCGCTCACCACATGCCAGGCACCAGACTAAGTTCTTTACACGTACTAACTCTTTAAACCTCTGAGCTATATCCTTTTATTTTGCCCTTTGTCAGTGTAGGAGACTAAGCCACAGAGAGGTTATGTCATGTAACATAAGTGACATAGGTGGGATTGGCACTCATACAAGCTGACTGCAGCATCCTGCCCTCACCTACGGCCCTACACTATGACTTCATATGAAAGATGGGGATGCTGAAAGCGAGCACGGAGGCAGCAGTGGGAGGAGCACTGAGCAGACAGTCTGCATAGCTCTGTGACCTCTCAGGGATTCAGTTTCTCATGTGTCAAGCCAGGAGCACAACCGGTCCATCTTGAAAGGTCCTCCTAACTCTGAGAAGTGAGAGGCAGGATTGAGCATCCAGAGACAGCATGAACTGCCAGCTATGATGATGGCTGAGGTCAGTTGTAGCAGAGGTTCAGACCTCTGACCTCCGAGTTGTGTGATCTTGGTCAGGTAGGTTAACTTCTCTGAAACTGGCACAATCACTCCAACCCTCCCACACATTCACTCTTCACCGGTTCCTGTGCAGATGAAATGACATGAGGGTGGAAAAGGCTTCGCTTCTGAGTCTGTCCAAATGTTATGGCAGCATCTTGTCTCTGGGGGACTCGTGGCAGGTCATCCACACTCCCTTTGGCACTGGATCAGCCAATTTCCAATCCCATCTAAAACCTCCGACCCAGAGTAACGTTCCTAAACCAATGAGCCTTTCCCCAACAGTCTGTTGGGAGCTAAAAGGAGTCTCCACAAATGCCAGTGTGGACATAATGTTCATAACACCCAGTGTTTATTAAGCCAGGAACCAAGACACTATCATTTAATCCCCACATGAGATATCATCTCTTTACAAACAGGAAAATTGAGTATCAGCAATGTTAGGTAACTTACCCAGGCCATACCTCTTGTCACAAAGTAGGCTGTTATCTGAGATGCCTGACATCAGTGTCCATGCACTCAGCACTGGCTGGTTTCTGAAATCCCTCTTCACACAGGGCACCTGTGGGCAAGCGTGGTCCTGACTCCCGGTTCATGTGACTCATCCTTTCCTTTTATTTTACATCAAATAGCAATTCCCTCCACAAATAACCAGCGGGACAAACCGTTGGCATTAATTACAAGTCACTGAGCACCTCACTCCTGCCAAATAAACACCACCACTCCCTCCAAACTGGAGAATCTTCCAGTACCCAGCGTGGGCAGATGAAATACTCCATCTGGAACCAATTCTCAGGCACACTCCCTCTTGCTGGTAAATGGCTGGGTAATTCCCTCCAAATCCCTAGTCACTTTGTTGCCTTCAAGTAGCCAACGGCTGGATTTTGGAGAGACAGGATTCAGTCTGAGCAATGGAAGAACTTCCAAAGATTCAGAGCCAAATCACCACAGGGCGCTCTCAGGGGTAGCGGGTATCCTGTCAGCAGCACTACGCAAGCAAAGACTGGTGTCCCCGTGGGGGTGCCAGGGGCGGTGTTATGCAAGGTGTGTGGGGACCACACTGTGAGGTTAGTCTGTAAACTGTTTCCAGTGCTCAGTGGACACCTTCAATGAACGTATATGGGGTGTTTTAAAATTTCTAATTTTTTAATTTGTTCTTCATATTGATATTCCGTGTGTTGTCCTTTTATGACATTTTTATAGTAATTAAACTTTTTTTTTAACCAAGGTTTAGGTCAGCAATGGATGGGAAATAAAATCTGTTTCTTCATCACAGGGGTCTTTTTTAGAAGTCCTATTTGGATTAAATAAAGCAGGTGGGGAGTTTTCCACCCCTTTAGTCACTTTCAGCCTAAAATTTAATGAGAAACTGAAGTTGGGCAGGGAAACCATGGAGAATGAGAATTCTGGAATGAGAAGTTTCTGGGCCATCGACCCTTGACATGAGAACAGAAGGCACCCTGTACCTACCCAACACCCTTATGGCATCTGGCCTAAGTCTCTTGCGTTTTACTGAAGATGAAGCTTAGTAAGGTAATGTGGCTTGAACAAGGCATTGAGTTTGTTAGGGACTAACATTTCCATCCAGAAACCAAATCTCTGTACTTCTAGTCCAATCCCACCCCCCCCACCCCCAGCCCTTGAGGGCAAGCCAAGGAAAACAGCCAGAATAAAGCCAACAACTTTTATTATCATTCATGTATTTTATAGCGGGGGTGGGGTGGGGGAATAGCAAACGGT